TGGGAGGATTGAAGGTTTGAATTTATATTTGTATAGAAAAGTAAAGTGTTGAACATACAGTATCATTTAAGTGTTTTCACTTTTATATTCTCACTTACCCTGAAGTGAAATCAGCCTTGTGAAATAGTTTTGTTGTGGTTGTTGTTAATTTAACAAATGGAGAAACTGAGTCGTAAGGGTTGAAATTCAAGATAGTGAATTGACCACTGAGTCCAGATCGTCTAACTTCAGTGTTTTGCCCTCTCTCAGATCTCTAAGGTTGAAGCCACAGTGCTCACTTTAGTATATTAGTAGATAACAAGTAGTAAAAAAAGAAAATATCAATACTTCAACGGTTTCATTGTATCAAGAATATGGAGGAAACTGATTCTACAGTGTAGGAACTATTGTACATAGTCTTGGTTTAGACTTGAAATAGTTTTACTGTGTTAACATAGCATGGTTATTACCTCTGAATTCTGAAGATAGGCTTGGCAAAATTGCTGAAAAAAAGAGTACTCTGGTCTTTAAAAATAAATTTTTGAAACATTAAAGAATCCATTTTTATAAGCATTTAAGGACCACACAGCAGGGGATATAATTTACATATCTCAACTGTGGTATAGTGAGGCTATTTATAACAAGGATTGAGTCTTGAACAAATATATATAATTATTGCATCTAAATCTGTTTAATATAATTAATATAATATACTTTGGTATAGTTTGATGGCGTTATTAGATATTTATTGCCTACTGAAGTTAGATCCCAGTATTTTCATAAATAAAGAGAACTAGGTTAATAAGAAAATAACTCCCCCACCCACTTTTCATCTCATGTATATTTGGCTATGAATATTTTGAGGAAATTGAGCTTATTTAGACTTGCCAGTCTTCTCAAGTTGCTGGCAGGTGTATGCTGCTGAATTTGCTCTTCTGAACTGTGAAAGGGGAAAGTTGCATAATTGATGATAGTAGCAAAGGATTTAAAAGTAAGGTCTTGGATTGTTTGGATTGCTGGGAATTGAACCCAGGGCTTCACATATGCTAGGCAAGCATTCTACCGCTGAGTTGTATCTCCAACCCTATAAAGTAAGTTTTGGCTTGAGTTTAACAATTTTATCTTAGGACACAAAATGTCCCCTTATAATACTAAAGTTTGATTTTTTGGCTTGAATTCTGTGACTTGGGAAATATAGCTATATTATTTTATAGTCTTACTCCAAGTTGATAACCGTGGCATTTTATTTTTCTCCCGTGGTTAAGGTTAAAGAGAAATAGTTGTAAGAAAGGGCAGACATTATATATTCCTTTAACTTAACCATAAGTCTTTGCTTTTCCTTGGAGTTCTCAAGTTACTTGTCAAAGATGGGGTCTACCTTGCACCAAAAGTATAAACTTTTATTTTCTTTTCAGGGCTCTGCGATGGTACCAAATTATCTTGTTCATTTGGTATTAATATTGCTTAGATATTTACCCATTCTCTGTCTTTCCCAAGTTCTCAAAGAAAGATTAGGAATTAGCATGCCAAGCTTCAAGAAACTTAGCACCCATGAGCCTTTCTATAGGAAGAAATTCAGCCAACCAAGAAATGAAAGCAGAAACTACAGCTAAAAAATTAGCAGTAAACATGGGATCTATAGAATTAAGACTAAAACAAACATGGAAATTAGTTTTACAGAGCAGAATGTATATCCTTAAAACCTTGACAGTGTAATGATATAACTAATAAAAGTCAGGAGGCCGAGAGGCAGAAATTATATAAAGTCATGTTTCATATCCAACTGTCAAAAGATGTCATTTAAAACAAATCCAGTAAAAGCTTAAGTATTTGGGGTAGAAACAGATAGAGAGGTACATGGATAGGTTATACATAGATGAAATGAAAGGTAAACTCTTAAGAGAAATAATGAAATAAACTGGGTGATAGAATAGGATGAAAAAAGCCAAAACTTCATTATTGCTCATAATAAAGAAAATACTTTATGCTTTAGTGGAAGTATATTTTATACAAAGTTATACAGTAGTTATAAAACTTTACTTACTCAACATGTATTTGATGAGGACTTGTTACTTGGCAAACAGTGTCAGTGACCAAACAAACAAAAATTCTTGCTTCTTGAGTCAAGAGAGACAAATAATAAACATAATAATAAGTAAATAATTTGTTAAGAGATATTAATCTACAAGGGCTAAAGTACAGCCTGAAGGGGATCAGGAGTACCAAATGATGGCATTGTCATTTTAAATTAGGTGGCCAGAGTAGGCCTCACTCAAAAAATAAAGTTTGATGAACATTTGAAGAAAGTGAAAGAGCCAAATAGTTATCTGGATAAAAAGTATTCTAAGTAGAGATAATAGCTACTGCAAAGTTCCCAAGGCAAAAATATAACTGTTCCACAGAGATAAGTCTAGAAGGCCTAAAATACAGTGGTGAAGCGGAAGCATGGTAGGAAATGAAGTCAGAGAGATAATAGAGTATCAGATAATACTGGACCTTAAACCCCACTAAAAGAACTTTGACTCTGAAATAGCTACTGGAACAAAAAAGCAATCCTTCCATATCATTTGAAGAAATTCATGTATATCTAAAACACAAGAAGCACACACCATGTAGTAAACTATTTTTAAGAAGAATGTAACAATAAAAACAAAGAATAATGTAAAATTTTATAACTAAGATTAAATATTTATGTTACATAAATATAAATAAGTAAATAAATGTTAAATAGGCTAAATTTCCTATTAAAAGATTCCCAGAATAGATCACAAAACTATTTAGAATTATTCCTAAAACAAAGAAACTCAGAAAGAATAATAAGGTTTAGAGGTAGAGACACAACAGGTATATGCAAATATTAAAAATGCAGGAATGGTGATCTTAATATTGACAAGACAATACAAAAAGCATTATATGAAGAGGATCTGTGGAAAGAAATTTTTTATATTGATACTTCCCTCTATATTAATGTATGTTTTTAATATGATCTCAACATAAAACACTTGCAAATATTTGTAGAGCATGTACTCAATGGCAGGCACTGTTCTAAACACTTTATATGTATTACTCAGGTAGTCTTTGCACTGACTTTGTGTGGTAGGTGTTAGTATTACTCTAAACGCTTTATATGTATTACTCAGGTAGTCTTTGCACTGACTTTGTGTGGTAGGTGTTAGTATTACTCTTTGTCCATTTTTCAAGGTAAAACCAAGACACAAAGAGGCTGATGAACTTGCCCAAGATTGCAGTTAGAGTAAGTTACCGAACTAAAATCTGAACATCAGCAGCATGATTTCAGATTTTCGGTTTTCAACTACTACATCATACTGTTTCTTGAAACTAATAGGATTTTGTGTGCATGTGTATACAGCTAGATAAACTGACTCTAAATTCATATGAAGAAATAAGCATAACTAGCCAGGAAAATTCTTAAAGAAATCTAGCAAAGGAAAACTTATCAGGTATTTAAATATATTATAAAACTAGAATGTTGAAACAATGTAGTTACTAGGTCATGAGAAGATAGATAATTGGCCAGAATATAAGTTCAGAAATAGATCCAAATTCATATAAGTATTTGGAAAATTATCAAGACAGCATTTCAAATGAGTAAGGAAAAAAATTATTCACTACATGGGACAGCTGTGTTGTCATTACAGGGAAATTAGTTGGAGTTCTACTTTTTAATTTTGACTAACAGTAATTCCTAATGAATCAAAGATTTAAACCTAAAAAGCCAGACTTGCTATGGACCAAGTCGTGAGAAAGTTTAAATGATTTATTTACATTAAAAAAAATAAATACCAGTCTCACATTTCTGCCTACTCTCTTCATTTGGAAGGATGTGAGGATTAATGATATTCACATAAAGGATATAAATCAGCCATATGCCATAGTGTATTAAGGTGTGCTTTGTCATAGAGTCCTAAATGATTTGTTTTAGGCTGATGTAGTGGAAGATAACAAGCTCTGAGACTTACTTTTGGTTTTTAGTCACTTAATGTTTTCCTTTCTTCTTTGATATTTTTGGGGGCTGGGAAAGTAAAAGGAATAAATTAAGTATTTGGTAACTCAGAAATGTATGCAGTATTCTTTTTGAAACCTAGTTTAATTATGAGTACCTAAATTCCAGATCCATAACCACAATGACACTACTCTTTGAGGAGGTAACAAACACTCCAAAGAAGGTGGTAGTTGAAAACTCAAGGAATAAAGTTGCCTGTCCAAGTTTTTAAAAACAGAGTAAACAAAAAGACCTATGGCTACCCAGATAATGGTAAATTCGTTATACTGCTGCCTAGCAGTTGTCTGGTACCTGGTTAAAGATAGGAAAGAAATACAGGTCTAAATAAGCTAGGAAGAGTAAGAAGCAAGAAAATTTAGTTTAGACTCAATAGCACTTAAAACCAATACTGGTCTTATAAGTTGTTAAAAAAAAAAGATTTTGGGGCTGGGGATTTAGCTCAGTGGTTCTGCCACCTGCCTCACAACCGCAAGGACCCAAGTTGAATCCCCGGTACCAAAAAACAAAAAAAAAGATTTGTTAGTTATAATCCTAATTTTGTTGAATGTAGCTTTTGTTCTCTTTTTGTTGGTTGGTTGGTTGGTTGGTTTGGTTTGGGGTAGTGGTTTTGTGTGTGTGTCTGTTTGTGTGTGTGTGTGTGTGTGTGTGTGTTTGAGACAGTGTCTCGCTATGTGGTTCAGGCTGGCCTTGACCTCACAGGCCAGCCTGGGATGTGCTGGGATTACAGGCATGTGCCACCATGCCAGGCTTGTACTTCTGTATGTGAATGCAAATGTGTTTGTAAATAATCTTGAAAACACACCACACAATTCACCATTAACATCTCAGGATGTTAGAAGTTTGAAAATCTTTGTTTTACCTGTATTTTTAAACTTTTCTACAAATAATATTTTCTAAAAAGAATACTCAAAAGCTGTTTTTCTTTTTCTGTGCACGTTTATGGATATAACATTTGTTATTCTGTCCTGACAGTGAATGTGACTTTTGTTTTTTATAGGTGCACCAGAGGCTCTCTTCCTGGCAGAATTTGGGAGTTGTTTATTGCAGTACTGTTGTGCCCTCTGATGGTGAGTTGTGGCAAACCCATTTTTTTTAAGTCTTTTTTTTCCCCCTCCTCCTTAGCTCAGTGTTTCCCATTCTCTGGTGGACATACAAATTTATAAGCTATACTCTTTCACTTAAGGTGAGTTTGGTGCCAGAAAGAGAAGGGTTAAAGAAGGGAAATAAAATCTGAATGAGGAACTAGTGGATATAGAGGGAAAACCAAGAAGAAAAACAAATGGGCTCAAGACTTCATAGATCACAGAATATTCACTTACATTTCAAAATTGGAGACATAATTAATGTGAAGGTCACAGAAGTAACATCTTTTGCGTTTCATAACCACTGGGCTTTCATGCAATGATTACTGATCAAATAATCTCTCCCCTTTGTGGTATCAGCCTGCACTGAAACAATTCAAAGTCTGAGACCACCCTCTGCTTTTGCTTGTCTCTCTTCCCTTAGGCTCAGGGGTGTAATTCTCTTTTATGTGGGAAGGAATGAACAGATGTTTGGGGACCACAGATATTTCTTTTAACTGTCTTCAATGTTGCAAACTGGCAATCAGATCTAAGCTTTGGTTGTGTTTTAGTGGTGGTGGGGGATGTGCTTACAACTTTTACTGTCATTTCTCCTACCCAGTATTGTACATTTACATTTTAAGTTGCTTAATTTAAGTTGACTGCTAAATATGTTCCTTCTGTATAAAGTTTAGTTTGATAGAGCTCAAATCTCAGCTTTATAAACATTAATTTATAGACATAGCAGCCACTGAAAGAGTGTTCTGCAAATTCACAAGGACACCTAAAACTGAATAAGACCAGAATATGAATTATGAAAATCCTAGAATCCTCTGTATAGATTTTATAGCTATCAAGATACATTCTCCAAAACTTTTTAGTTATCTATTTTATAGACAGTTTGGTCATATTTGCTGAATCCTCAAAACTTGAAGGAAGTATCCTTTTGTGGTTACTCATTTGTAGTATGGATAGGTTGAAAGGGAAAACAGGCCAGAATCAAAACAAGGAAAATAACAGCTGGCTTTCTTCTGTTTCTTGAAGACATAAAACACTGCTATCCTACCAGTTGACACATATGTTAAAAAGTAGCAATCTACTTTGTTGCAGCCAGAGAGCAGATTGTCCCCAGCCAAGACTTAGTATGTAATGGGAATACCAGACCTTCTCACATGGCCAAGATCCAGAAAACAGTGATGCCATCTACTCCCTTCCTCCTCAAGGCCCCCAAAAGCAATGGGTGGGATTTCTTTCCCCCATGCTATCTTGGTGCAATATGTGGAGTCATGTGGAGGCTGTCAATGTCTATGCCTACACCACTCCCATGTCTCATTACTAATGCCAGGACGCATCTTTAGATAGTTACAATAAGCAGAATGCCTCTCAATGGAAAAAAGTAATTATCATAGTGCTAAATCCTCTCAGCATTTGATGAACTAACAGTATTTTATTCAAAAGTTTCTAGCCTTTGAAATATTTGAAATTGTTACATATTCAATGTCAGTATATATCAGTAGTGTATATACTCAGTAGTTAGGTGTATATGTAATATCAACCAAGTCACACTAAAACAGGACACTCAGGTACCAGTAGTTATACTATTCTGTGGCAATTAATTTGAACTAATGGGTTCACATTGTTATTTATGTACATTTTGCCATTTCATTGCAATTAACTGTGATTCTATATACCAATCTATAGAAGCATTTCAATAATTTAATAATGATACAGTTGTGCTGGGGTATGACTGAATGTTATCCCAGCACATAAATGCTGATAGGTTGTCCCTACACTTCTTGAGGAGTTGAAAGCAATATTTTTACAAAAGCTAAAGGGATAACAACTTTAAAAAAAGGTTTCTCCCTATTCCTTGCTAGTATTTGCCCTTCTTAAGAAAACAAATCCTATTAGTCATCCAGAAATAGAAGCACAAAATTTTTTTATGTAATGTAGCTCGATATCTTTACTACCTCCAAATTATATATATCTTTCTTAGTTTATCCTTCTAAATTAGTTTTACCTAGGTCATTGTAACATAGGAAACTGCCAATATATAGTTACTCCAATAGAATTCAATCATCATTAACAGACATTTCTACCATCATTCACTGTTCTTTGCCATTACTGCTGGGTCATATTCAATGATGGCTTGACCCTTATTTTTGAAAAGTGTGGAGTCTGAGGCATCTGCCTCACAAGCGCAAGGTCCTGAGTTCAACCCCCGGTACCAAAAAAAAAAAAGTATGGAGTCTAAAATGCCACATTACATAATTGTGATATTTATATACCTAGTATATATACTTGTATACACTGCTTCTTAGTAATTGCTTCTTAATTATGTTATTTGACAAATCTTCTAGTTATGACTATAATAGCTAATATAAAATATGTAGATAATCTAAACATTTAACCTCCCTACCAAAGTGATGTAACAGGTTCTTGATTTTTTTGTCATAAATATTTTTAAGAATCTACTGAAACTCTAGACTATTTCTCTAGAAATATCTGTCTGTCCACATAAGAAATTTTACGTACAACTTCAAAGTGAAACAGATTCCCTCAAATCAAATCGTGGAATCCCTAATCCCATGGACCCTACTTTGGAACCATTTTGGAGTCTTAGAATGCAGATTCAAATCCATATACCCCTGCCCATATCTCCTTTCATGAGGCTATGAGTTCAAGCTTAGAGGTTACAAGTACAAGCTGCGCTTCATCCCATTTCCACAATGTAACCACTTTATAGTCACAAGCAAGCAATTTCTTAAAAACTGTTTCCTCATCCATAAAATAGAAATAGTGAGTTACCATTTCTAAGAGAAAAATGTCCTCATCCTGTAGATCCTCAAGTGTAAATGATTAATAGTGAAATCTTTGAGTTGTTTGCTCTATACCTACTTAAAGTCTTTGGAGGTTCTTATATAAAAATGTCCATATTACCAAAAGCCATCTATGGATGTAATGCAATCCCTATTAAGATATCAACATTCTTCACAACATTAGAAAAACCAATCCCAAGATTTGTCTGCCTCAGAAAAAAACCAGAATATCCAAAGCAATCCTGAGCAGAAAGAGCAAAGCTAGAGGCATACAATACCTGATTTCAAGGTATACTACAAAGCTATAGTAACAAAAACAACATGCTACTAACAAAAACAAAAATGTAGACTGATAGGATAGAATAAAAAGTACACAAACATCTCCATTCACCTACAGCCATCTGATTTTTGACAAAGAGGCCAAAATTATATGTTGGAGAAAAGATAGCCTCTTTAACAAATGGAGCTGGGAAAACTGCATGTCCATATGCAGAAGATTGAAACTTGATCTCCATCTCTCACCCTGTACTAAAATCAAATAAAAATGGATCAGAGATCTAGATATAAAAACAAACTTTGAAAGTGCTATATCATAACATAGGGAAAACACTTGAACCCATAGGCACAGAAAAGACTTTCTGAATCATTCTACAGGTGAAGTTACATCAAATTTAAAAGCTTCTTCTCAGCAAAGGAAATTATCAATAGAGTGAAAAGACAACCTACAGAATGGGAGAAAATTTTTTGCTACTATTCTTCTGATAGAGGACTAACATCTAGAATACATAAAGAAGTCAAAAAATTAACCCCCCCAAAAATGACCTAGTCAAAAAGAGGGCAAATGAACTGAATTGACACTTCTCATTAGAAGAAATACTAATGGCCAGTGTTCAACATCTTTAGCCATTAGGGAAATATAAATCAAAATCGACTATTTTACCCTCATCAGAATGGTTATCATCAAACATACACACACACACACACACACACACACACACATACACACACACACAAAACAGTAAATGCTGGTGAGGATGTGGATGGGAATGTAAACTAGTACAACTGCTATAGAAATAAATATGGAGATTTCTCAAAAAACTAAAAATAGAAATTCGATTTGATCAAGCTATACCTCTCCTGCCTATATTACCCCCAAAATTAAGGACATCATGCTATAGTGATACATCCATACTATGTTAATAGCAGTTTAGGCTCTGGAAAAACAGCCTAAATGCCTGTCAACAGATGAATGTGAAGGGCCAGGGATTTAGCTCAGTGGTTCTGCTGCCTGCCTTGAAAGCACAAGGACCCGAGTTCAATCCTTGGCACCAAAAAAAAGTAAAGAAAAGAAAATGTGATATCTGTATCTATCTATAGATATAGATATGTTCAGCCATAAGAAGAGTGAAGTTGTGTCATTTATAGGAAAATAGATGGAACTTGATACCCTTCTGCTGAGACACAGAAAACTAAATAACACATAGTTTCTTTTCTATGGGAAGTTTAATATAGAAATAAAAAAAATAAAGGAAAGATGATAGGAAACTAGAAAGCAGACTTTTGGAGATAGGGACTGGGGTTGGGAGGAGAGGGTAGCTAAGGAGGTGGGTAGGTAAAGGGATTGCAGATGTCAAGATACGTTATATGTATGTACCAGCTCCTCAAAACAAGCATCACTATCCTATATTGCAAACATACACTAATAAAAAAGTCAGAATAACTGACTTGTATAAACCAGGACGCAGGTTCAAGGAAAGATAGGGAAACTTTGAAAGGTGAGCTAGAAAAAGAGCAATAAAATAGCCTTATCTAGCCGCCTTCAGTTTCTTTATCCAGAAATTTAATATAGCCCAATTAGTTCTATATTAAGAATTATGGTAGAGATTTGAATTTATTTTGCACTTAATGAAAGACACCAGATTTCTTTCTTTTTTTTTTGGTACTGGGGAATGAACTCAGGGCTTTGTGCTTGTGAGGCAGGCAGTGGAACGACTAAGCTAAATCCCCAGCCCTACACCAGATTTCTTTATGAAAATTGTTTCAGGGCAAATAATTTAGTAATGAAAGTCAATGAAAATGCCTTTTTAATGATAAACAACCATCTTTTTAATCAGCCCAAGTATAGATAATTTATAAATTCTTAGCCTGAGGTGTGAGAATGGTTTGAGGAGCCAGATAAATGCCCCA